CTGACAGTGCTGGTGGCTTTATGTGGGCTGGTGGGCAATGGTGTGGTCTGCTGGCTCCTCTGCTCCCAGGTCAGGAGCAACCCCTACATGGCATACATCCTTAACCTGGCCGCTGCTGATATGGTCAACCTCTCCTGTGTAACTGTGATCCTGTTGGAGAAAATCCTCGTGCTGTATCACCAGGTGACATTGCAGGTGGCCGTGTTTCTGGAGCCTGTCTCCTATTTCTCCGACACAGTGGGTCTCTGTCTCCTGGTGGCCATGAGTATTGAGGGCCTTCTGTGTGTCCTCTGTCCCACCTGGTGTTGCCACCGCCCAAAACGCACCTCTGCCATGATGAGCGCCCTGAGCTGGGCCCTGGGCCTTTCTTTGCATGTGGTTAGCCAGGTCTGTGAGTAATGGGAGAAGGGCTTGGCATGTGACCAATTTCACGCAGGCTTTATAATATTTCACATGCTTATTTGTCTTGTGATGGGCATTTCCAGCCTGACTTTGACCATCAGGAGCCTGTGCTGCCTGAAGAAGTGTTCACCCATCCGGATCTACCACATTGCCCGCTTTGTGGCCATCAGCTTCCTCATCTGGGGCCTGCCTTTAGTTGTCCCTGTGTACCTGCCAGGAGAAGAATACCTGACCTTTGCCTTTGACCTCCTGTTGCTGCTGTCTATGGTAGTCAGTATGGCTCAATCAGCCATCTACTTCTTGGCTGGCTACCTTCAAAGGAAGAGGCATAGGGAGTCCTTAAAGGTTGTTCTCCTAAGGGCTTTGTTGAATGAGATGGAAGGTGGAGGAGACAAGGGGTCTCAGGCAAGGGAACAGCAGGTTACCAGGATGGAGCTCCTCCCACTCCAGGAAACTGTTCCCCAGAACTGACCATGGTGGTCTGTATTGGTCCGTTCTCACACTGCTATAAAGAAATATCTGAGACTGGGTAATTTATAAAGAAAAGAGGATTGATTGGCTCACAGTTTGACAGGCTGTACAGGAAGCACGGCTGGGAAGGCCTCAGGAAACTTACAATCATGGCAGAAGGTGAAAGGGAAGCAGGCATGTCTTCACATGGCAGGAGCAGGAGGAAGAGAGCAATGGGAGAGGTGCTATACATTTTGAAACAATCAGATCTGGTGAGCACTCACTCGCTATCATGACAGCAGCACTGAGGGGGAAATCTGCCTCCATGATTCAATCACCTCCCACCAGGCCCAACCTCCAAATGGACATGAGATTTGGGTGCGGAACACAGATTCAAACCATATCATGCCCTGTGGAGTCTGCCCCATAAGGAGGTGCTTGAATCCTGGCAAACATGACTCTGAATAGGGCAGGAAGTCAAGTGGTGGAAACAACTGTGACTAGAGGAAATGTTCACTGAAGTTTCCCTTTACCTCAATACTGCTCTAATTACTTTGCAAATATGAAATCAGGTAATTTTAACAATTCTATGAATAGATAACATTACTATTATCCTGCTTCAGCCTAAGCCAAAAGGCCACTTGGCCCATTTAGCCAATAGCTATCCAAAGGCCTCAGTACATTATAACAAGCATAGCCCTTCACCATCACTCTTCTCCTTGGAGATCAATCACGGTTGGACTCTTGTGGGTCTGTCTCTGGGCCCTCTGCTCTATTCCATCAGTCTATTTATCCACCCATGGACAATACCACACTTGATGTAGTTACTGCATCTTTATCATACATGTCTATCTGCGAGAAGTTGAGTCCTCCTACAAGCAGTTAGAGAAGAAAAAGACATATATGTACAGAGAATCAAAGATACAAAGCAGATTTCTTGTTGGAAAATTGCAAGTTGTATGGAAGTACTTCTTTTTAAAGAAAAAAAAATGCCAACCTAGAATTCTTTACACAGTCAAAATATTTTCCAATAAAAAGGCAGAATAAAGAGGTTTTCAAATAGACAAAAGATGAAAGAAATCATCACAGGAGATGTATAGATTGAGAAATGGTAAAGGACATCCATCTAGCAGGAGAATAATGACTCCAGATGGAAATCTGAGTCTGCTAAAGAAGGAGCCCTTTGCACTGCTGGACTCTCCATAGGATGCTGAATACAAGTAGTGAGAGCTGACAGCCTCGCCTAGTTCCTCCTCTGGGGTGAAAGCACCCAGTCTTTCATCACTAAGAATAACGTCCACTAAACATCAACTACAGAGGTTTTGTAGGTGCCTTTTATCAGTTTAGGAAAATTCACTTCTATTCCTAGTTTTTAGGAATAGAAATAGACTGGAAGTTTTTATAAGGTTGTTGGATTTTGTCTAATGCTTTTTCTAAATATACTGAAATAATGATGTGCTGTTGTCTTTTTATCTGTTAATATGGTAGGTTATATGGGCCCATTTTTAATGTTGAAGCAGCCTTGCATTCCTGGGATAAATTTCACTTTGTCATTCTGTGCCTATATTTATATTTGTGTTGCATATGTATATTTGTATTGCATATGTATGTGTGCTCAAGGGCACGTGTTTCTGTGTATGGCAATGCAGTGAACCTAGAATAAAAAAAGAAACCCTCTAAAAAAGAAGAATTAAGTAAGATGGCTAAAGTACCTAACTTCAAGACTTATTGTAACGGTTCAGAAATTCAGACGGTATGGTACTGGTAAGAGGCTAGACAAATAGATCAACAGAACAGAATACAGAGTCCAGAATAGACCATCACATATATATTCAATTGTTTTTCAAAAGGTGTACAGCAAATTCAGTGGAGAAAAGACAATCTTAGCAACAAATACTATTAGAACAATTAGATATGCATATTAAAAACTTCATACATGGCACCATTATTCAAAATGTATCATAAACCAAAATGTAAGGCCTAAAACTTTAAAATTTGCATAAGGAAAAAGGTAGATATTAGTGTGACTTTGGATTAGAGAAATATTTGTTAGATAAGCACCAAAAGCATGATGCATACAAGGAAAAAGCATGATCAATTGAATTTCATCACAATGATGTGTGCACTCTGAAAGACCCTGTGGGGAGAATGAAAAGACAAGTCCCAGGCTGGAGCAAGTATTTGCAAATCTCACCTCTGATGGACTCATACACAGGATCTATAAAAAGCTCTGGGGAGAGGACTCCTCACGGCCCTCAGGAGTCAAAGGGGTGCTGTGCTTAGGGTAGAAATGGAAGATGCCTCCCACCCTGTCATTCATGTCCCCTGAGCAGTGGTGCTCAAAGTCCCATACCAATGCCCCTTCCTGAGTCCACAGTCCCTTCTCTCCCCACGTCTACAACGCCAGGCCAGGCCCTAGGGACAGGCCCCTCCTCCAGGGCACAGGGAGGGACAGTTGCTCTCAGGCTCTGGGTGCCCAGCGTCATGCTCACCCCTTCAAGGCCCACCGGGCCTGTCTCACAGGATATAGTGAGGTTGTCTGGCGTTTCCTGGACATGCTGTCTGGGCCTATTCCCAAGCTGCAGCCAGAGAAATGGAGGGATGTTTGTCAGGCCAGCTACCCTGTTCTACTGGGTCTCATGGGGCCCTTCCCACAGAGCCTGGGTCTAAACACACAGTACAGAGGCCATAGTGGCCAGCCTAGAACCTGTGAAGTGTGCTGGGGACCACAAAAGGGCTGTCTCCAGACAGCCAGGCGAAGCTTTGCTAGTTTCTCAGTACCTCATTTCTTTCCGTTTCTTTTTTTCTTTTCCTTTTTGAGACAGGATCTTGCTCTGTTGCCCAGGCTGCAGTGCAATGGCGTGAGCTCGGCTCACTGCAATCTCCACTCTCTTACCTCCAGACTTAAGCCATTCTCCCACCTCAGCCCCACCAGTAGCTGGAACTACAGGCGGGTGCCACCATGCCTGGCTAATTTTTTTGTTTTGATAGAAATGGGCTTTGAACATGTTGTCTAGGCTGGTCTTGAACTTCTGGACTCAGGCAACCCACCCTCCTCAGCCTCCCAAAATCCTGGGATTACAGGTGTGAGCCACTGCATGTGGCTGTTACTTCATTTCTTGCCAGTTACCTCACCCTCATGAAAAACCCCCTTCATTCAAAATCAGTAAGAGGAGAAAGATGGTAAAAGAGTCAATGGAAAGAAAACAGGATATAACTTCTGTCCGTGTAACTTCTTTATGTCCCATTGGAAAAAGAAGCCTAAAGGGGTTCATTAATTTCTATTGCTCTGAGGTCCCGAGGATGGCATCACACAGTGCAATAACTACCAGCAGGGGCCATGCTTGATCTCAGCAGATGTCAGTGAGGACATACCTGGGATCTTCTGGGGTCATGGACATGGACTTACAGCAGAACTGAGTAAACAGGGGTGCACAGGCACACACACACACACACACATACATACACATACACATGTGCACACACAGGGACACACACAGTCCTGTGCTGCACAGATGAGCCCCTCCCCATCCACTCTGACTCCACAAGGCTCCCCTGACCCCGCTAGTCACCTGGCCTGTTGTCAGTGGTGTCCTTTGTGTCCCGCCTTGGCACAGGCTCAGGACCTGGGATTGCCAGATACTGAGAGGAGATGAGATGGAAAGAAGGATGAGGGACAAGGGAAGAAGGAGAGAGGGAGGGAGGGATGTGGGGAGGGAGGGAGGGAAGAAAGGGAGGGAGGGCTGCCGGAGACCAGCCACCAAGGGACAGTAGGCACAGGTGACAGCAGACCCTCTCAGGGATGCTTTGTACAGACTGTCATGAATGAGCGATGTCACTGGAACTCCAACTTTTGCTCCCTTCCCAGCCCTCTGGGGTTCCCTGTCAGGCACAGTTTGAATTACAGTAAATTATTGGTCTTAACCCTGGCATCTGCCTGAGAGTGGGAGGCTGCAGTGCAGTGTGGCCTCACAGTTGTGTGGGAACCTTGGCCTTTCTGGTCCTTGGCCCTGCTGCAGCCTTTGGGATGGGGAGGCTGTGAGAGGCTGGTCAGGGGTCTGGGCTGTGTCACCCTCATTTCCCATCCACCTCAATGTGCCCAGGGTTTCCTGCAGAGAGCTCTGGGCAACTCAAAAACAGGCAGGTCGTAACAACAAAGACTTTACTGTGCTTTAATCAAAATCAGTGGGGGCTTTGAGGCCAAGGAAGGGGTTCTTTCCCCCAACAAGAGGCTTTCTTAGGCATTGCTGAATCTGTGCTGGAAGCTCTGGTCCCACCTTGGAGCCTTCTGCGGTGAGTAGTGCCAAGTTTCCTGACTTTTTCTGACCAGAAAATGCAACTGCCAAGAATGGCAGATGAGGGATCCAGCCTCCTGGACTCTCATTTTCTTGGTTTTCTTCAGTTCTGTGTCCTGGAGCAGATTGTGGACCCTGGAAGCAGGGCCCCAGTGCCATCTGCTTGGGCCTCAGGACTCCACCCCATTGCTGGTCTGGTGGTGACAACCTATCCTGCAGGAGCCTGACCATTTCTGCTTCCTTGAATGGATGAGGTTGGTGGCTGGTCCGCCTGTTTCTGCCCTACCCTCACCAAGGTGGACAGCGGTAGTTTGAGCTTGGTAACATCATCAGCTTGGCCTTGCTAGGCACACATAGGCCCCGGGTATGTACGCAGTGCTCCAAGGGGGCTTGCTCTGCCTTAAGCCAAATACTAGTTCTGGCCAGGGCCACAGGGGACTCTGTCTCCTGTGTATCTTGGCTGCTGCTGGGGACCCCAAGGCACCCCTGGTGCCCCTTCCCTTTCAGGGCTCAGGTTGAGTCTGGGCTAGGGCCCTTTGGGTCTGGGAATTGTGCATTGAGAGGGGGATTCTGCCGTACAGGTTGGGACCGTGGATGCAGGGCATGCTGCTGGCTGGCCTGAGCAGTGGGAATGCCATGCTCACCCTTCCCTCCAGTGGCCTCCAAGTGTCCAGCTTCCCCATCAGTATTGACTTTCCATGTCTAAGGAGCTATCTGGGGCTTTGGGGCAGCTTGCCAGGTGCTGCCCTGGCTCCTTCTGGGCCATGCTGGTCACCGTCTGCCAAGGGTGATCTGTCAGATATAGGCACCACATGCAGGAAAGTTGTCTCTGGCCCTACCTCTGGGCTATCAGGGGTCTGGGCAGGGTCTCGTATTGGGGGCTGGGCCAGTCCTGTGGTCTTAGAGGTGTCCAGGGCAGATATGGAAGTGACAGGGGCCTAGCATGTCTGCTCCAAGCTGTACTGTGAAAACCACAGGCCTCTGAGGTCCAGGTCCATGGGGAGCTTAGAGAGGGAGTTCCAATGTAGGAATCACCAAGCACCCTGTGGTCTATCCTGAGCTGGGGATGGGCTGGCCACACTCTTTTGAGTCCCCAGGGCCCCCAGAGAGCAGCCTGCTGTCCTGGGCTCTGCAGAAGCTCCCTCATGCCTCTGGGCTTTGGCCTTGCATATAGCCTAGCTAGGCGAGGGTGAGGGAGGATGAGGCTCTTGTTTCAGGAGGGCTACACCCTCAGGAGGGCTACACCCATGGGCTGCTGGAGCTGGGCTGTGGGCCAGGGAGAACCAGCCCGTCCCCTTGGGGAGGGTCTCAATGCTAGGGGATGTCTGCAGAGACCTGAGTGCTGGGGGTACTTGCTCAGGTTTGGCTGAAAGGAAAGCAGATTTGGTCAGCTTCTCCACTGAGAACATCTTGCTTTTGCCAGGCTGGACCCCACAGACTTGGGTCCCTGCAGTCCTCAGGGTCACCGTGTGGTCCCCCTGGTCTAACGCTGAGGACACTTCTGCAGGCTGCTGCTCCCAGAGCGAGATGTGTGTGTAGCTGTTAGGGAACCTCAAGTCACTCCAGGGGCAGCCCCCAGGGTTCGGGCTGACTCAGGCTTCCTGCCTCACACCCTTGCCCCAGGGCTGCTTAGCCTGGGCTTTAGCCTTGATTCAGAGCTCAGATGGATGGGGCCCCTTTGCCACCCAATATGGGGGCTTATCTCCACAGTGGGTGAGATACCCTCCACTCCTCTGGGGGATCTCCATGCCAGGGCTGGACTGTTACCACACTTAGCTGAGCTCTCAATTCTGGCTCTGGGCCAGGGTTTCACATATGCCCTCTCCCTAAATCTTCTTAGGGTCTGACACTGATTTTAGGCCCTTGGAGGGGTGCTCAGGAGTGAAGGCCCCACTGCTCTCCAGGGCTGCTGGTACTCACAGGTGTGGTTGTGGGCTTGCACAGATGGATCTGAGCCCTCCAGTGTCCTTCTGGGGCTTTCAGGAGTGAGAGCAGGAGGCTACATGGGAGGGGCTTGGAAGAGTCTTGCTCACGTCTCATTGTCTCCGAGGCATGTCCAGTAAACCCAAGGTCAGCTTTTGCCCTAGGCTCAGTCAGCCTGTTTTCAGAAGCTTCTTAGAGGAGGAGAGAGAGAAAGGGCTGGAGGAAAGGCCCAGGGAACAGGGCTGGTGAGGTCTAGGCACTTCCCACTATTTACTGCCCCACAGGGTGACGCAGGAGGAAACTTGGTTCTGAAGCCCGCCTGGGTGTGCAGGTCACAGTGCATGCTTCTCAGTTCCCCCATGGAGGCCTCAGGGCGCCTCATCACCATGTCCTCCTCCAGGGCCCAGGCCTAGGACAGTGTGTCCTGAAGGAACTCCTGCAGGCCAAACAGGAACAGCTTCAGGGGGTGTTCCAGGAACAGGGTGACTATCAGGCTGGGAAGGGTCTGTGGGAGAGTCAGTTTCTGCACCTTGTTCCCGCTCCAGGCACCCTCCACTGGGCAGTGCTGGATCCTACTGTGGCTGCCCCAGGGGTCCAGATGTTCACAGAGAACCACAGCTGGAGGAAGGCCTGGGCAGGGAAGTGCTCACCACACTCCTGCCTTTCATCTAGGTTGTGCCAGGAGTGGGTTTGGTACCTGGGTCCACTCCCTGCCCAGCCAACCAGGCCTGGTCTGGCCCTACCTCCGGGCTGGAGCAGAGAGCCATGAGGACAGTGTGGATGCTGGTCTCAGGTCATCACACACCAGAAGCCAGGGATCTGTCCTGCATGCTCCTTCTGGGCACCATTGGTGGATAGGATCCAGGGTCTGTCCTGCATGCTCCTTCTGGGCACCATTGGCCACCCAGGGACTTAATTCTGTGTGCTGTGAAGGCCATGCATACCATAGTTGTCACCACGCACTCACCTTCCAGGAGGTAGACATCCCAGAGCCTCAGGATGAGCATGAAGGAAGTCTGCGGGAACAGCAGGTATGGGAGGACCTGGCCTTTCCAGCCTCGGGGCTGGTGGCTTGAGCAGGGCCCACTGTAGCCTCAGTCTGGACTTCCTGAGGCTCCCTCTGCTTGGGAAGAGACCCACCCTAGCTTCCATAAGGCTGGGTCAGACAAGGTTCGGCGGCTCTTCATGGGGATGGACTCATCTCAGCAGAAATGTGGCTCTCAGAATAAGGGATTTCCTTAGGGCTCGTGGTTTCCCTGGCTCCTCCGGCTCTTCCAAGATGGGTCCTGGCCCAGTCCGCCCAGAAATCCCTGGTTTCTGGTGTGTGATGCTTCCATCAGGCAGGTCCTGGCTTGTGTGCCCTGCAGAGACCTGCCTGTGCCTCCTGTGGGGTGAGGGTGAGCTGGGTCCTCCTGGGGAAGCCAGAGCCCTGGGCTGGGAGAGCTGAGCACTGTAGGGAAAGAAGATACCTGGCCTGGGGTCTCCCTATGCCTCCTTATCCCATCGATGAAGCACCATAGAAACCAGTTTAAGGTGGAAAGCTGGATGCACAACCCACCCTTCCTTGTCCTGATAGAAGGAGTGTTCACGGCCCCCTGGGCTTCTGTGAAAACCTCTGTATTCCAGGGCCCACTGCAGACCCTTCCCCAAGAGGCAGAACAGTGGTGGCTGGGGTTTCCGCCAACACCTCCCCACGGCATGGGTCCCCAGTGGACGTACTTCCCTTAGCCCTGGCTCAGCCTGGTCCCAGTGCCTCTGTCCCCTCCAGGTAAGGAAAAGGAGGCCAAACTTTGAATCCATTGAAAACCAGGTCAAGCCCTGACTGGAAGTTGGCCTCTCACCAGCCCCAGGCTTCCGCTGTCCCTCTAACCCCATGGGACCCAGGGCCTCTGGGGAAGAGCTGAGGGACTGTCCACTCACCATGTGCTTCATAAGCTCTTGGAGCACTTTTAGCAAAACTTGCTCTTGATGGCCTTGGAGACTCTGGAAGTTAGAACATCTTGGGATGTAGACTCCTGAGAGGCTCCTGGAGCCCCAAGAAATCAGAGCCTACTCCTGAGATGTGGAGCCATCAGGCTGGGTAGTGGCAGTTGGGCAGTGGCAGTTGGGCAGTGGCAGTTGGGCAGTGGCGGTTGGGCAGTGGTGGTTGCTTCCAGACTCCAAGGCCTTTCACTCTCCCATCCAGTGACCCCATCGTGTGGTCTTGGCCAGGAGAGGAGGGGCGATGGGAATGTCCTCTGGGGCCTGGCTGGAGGCACTGCTTAGCGGCTTCCTGGGCCATGGTTTCAGAAGGGCAGGCCTGCCTTTAAAGCAGTGAGGACAGGTGGGAGCTGGTGGGGTGACCAGGGGTGCTGGAGGATGTGTGGCCTTCTCCTGGATGTGGGGTCAGGGCAGGGGACACAGGACAGAGAGAAGCTGTCATCTGGGCTTGGTCTAGCCATGGGCAGGGTGGGTGGTTGGGAGGGTGGCCAGCTGGGAGGCTGAAGGACCAGCAGGGTGATAAGAGTCCCCTGCATAAGGTCAGGGCCAGAGGGCTGTGGCACCAGGATGCAGAAGGTGGTCACGGGGCAGCTGTGATCCCGTTTGCTGATGGGGACAAGAGGCATCTGACTTGGGGTGTGGGGTCTCTGACCAGTCACAGGCTCCTGTGGGACTCTCAGCAGGGGATATCCTGGAGGCTCAAAATGAGTAGGGGACAGAAGGTGCCTTGTCTGTAAGTCACAATTACCCAGTCAATGTGGCCATCCCCTGTCCTGGCTGTGTGATGCCTCGTGGGTAGCTGTCCACTGTGGGCTAATGTCACATGGGAGGACTGTGTCACCTGAGAGGACAGAGTTCACCTGGGAGAGTACCATGCTTGGCAAGCCTCTCATTGGCCAGCAGCTGGGCCAGCACCCAGATGTCTCCTCATTCTGGAACATGAGCAAGATAGTGGCTCATGCCATGATATGGCTCATGCCCCTGCAGTAGCCTACCTCCGGCAAGAGCCAAAGTCATAATGGAAAGGCTTCACGAAGGCTGACGTCACCTTGGACGGTCAAGGTCCCTTGAGATGGCTAATGTCACCTGAGCACACTATGTCACCAAGAGGGCAGAGGTTACCTGGAAAGGCAGAAGTCTCCTGGAAAAGCTGAGGTCACTGGAGGAAACAGGTCACTTGGAAGGGAAGAGGTCACTTGGGAGATGTAATATCCCCTGGGAGGACTAATGTCACCTGAGAGGGCAGAGATCATCTAGGAAAGCAGAGGTCCCCTGGAAGACCTGAGTTCACCAGGGAGGGCAGAGATAACCAGGGAGAACTAATGTCACTTAGGAGGGCTGAGGTCACCTGAAAAGACTGAAGTCATCTGTAAAGGCAGAGGTCACCTGGGAGAGCTGAGGTAACCTAGGAGGGCACAGGTCACTTGAGAGGGGAGAACTAATGTCACCCAGGAGGGCAGAAGTCACCTGAGAAGGCAGAGATCACCGGGGAGGCCTGCCACAGGTCCCAGGGAATTTAGGGTGCAGCTTCCATGCCCCTCTCCTGACGCCGTGCTTCACTTGAGCCAGTCATGGACATCGCAGTTGACAAGGAGCTACTGAAGCGACTCCTACTTCATCCAAACTCATGTGTGGCCAGAAAGGGCATAGGTGAAGGCCGTTAAGACCACCCTGACCCCAACTGCAGATGCTAAGCTGGGGAGGCCACTGTGCCGGGCTCAGGGCAACACCCTTGAACTGAATCCCCATGAAGGCTGGTTGTGGGTGCTGACCACTGCACATAGGGGCCTGGGATGGCTCACAGGCTGCTGGGCACAGAAAGACAGCTAGGTCCAGACCCTGCATGGGCAGCCCATGGAGTCTGCTCAGCAGCTCTTCCTGCCAGGAATGGTCTAGAAAGTGGGGGCTGGAGAGTGGGAGCAGCCATCTCAGTAAATCCTTCCCTGTCTGCTGTGCTGTTCAGGGCTCAGGTGAAGGGGAACTGTGATTCCAAAGCCTTAAGAAGATGGCTTCTTCAGGATCCAAACTCACTTTATGACAAAAGAAATGTCCATTAGGCACTTCACCAACTTGTAAAATATTCTGAGAGCAACAATCTGCAACAATGCAAAGCTTGTGGGGATTGAAGTGGGAAAGGAAAATAAAACGCAGGACTCCAATTCACTATGCCAAAAGGAAGAAAATTAAGCTGAAAGCTGAGTCACGCAAAGAACTGTCTTTCCTTTTGTTCCTCAGGAGATAGGTACAGATAGAAGGTTAAATAGCTCCTTAGGTAGCTACTCTTATATTCACCTTATGTAAAGGGCCAATTACTGAGTGTGAGACGAATACGTAATTGACTGTTTTCCTACCTGCCCCTTTTCTCTTGCAACATGTGGAAAACCACACCCTCTTTCCCCTCCAGCCCACTTCTCTCCTTTATATATTGAGGCCTCACAATCATCTTTGAGAAAGGCACATCTACCTGTTTCCTGGGTGTGTCCTTAACCTTGGCAAAATGAAAATTCTAAACGGATTGAGACCTATCTTACATACTTTTTCGTTTACAAGTTGGCAACCAATGGAAGAGACTCTGAGTGAAGGTGGCCTTGACCTTTGACAAATCTATTAGTGCTTGCTACCAGTTTGAACTATCTTTATTTTTATTTTATTTGTTTTAATTTTGACTCACTCTGTCACCCAGGCTGAAGTGCAGTGGCACGATCACTGCTCACTGTAGCCTCTGTCAGGCCTCTGAGCCCAAACTAAGCCATCATGTCCCCAGTAACCTGCACGTATACAGCCAGATGGCCTGAAGCAACTGAAGATCCACAGAAGTGAAAATAGCTTAACTGATGACATTCCACCATTGTGATTTGATCACCCTAACTGATCAATGTTCTTTATAATCTCCCCCACTCTTAAGAAGTTTCTTTGTAATTCTCCCCACCCTTGAGAATATACTTTGTGAGATCCACCCCCTGCCTCTAAAACATTGCTCTTATCTCCACCGCCTATCCCCAAACCTGTAAGAATTCATGATAACCCCACCCCTTTGCTGACTCTCTTTTCAGACTCAGCCCGCCTGCACCCAGGTGAAATAAACAGCCATACTGCTCACACAAGGCCTGTTTGGTGATCTCTTCACACAGACACGTGAAACAGCCTCCACATCCCGGGCTCAGGTGATCCTTCCACCTCAGCTTCCTGAGCAGCTGGGACTACAGGCTTGTGCCACCACACTTGGCTAATTTTTGTAATTTTCATAGAGACAGGGTTTTGCCTTGTTGCCCAGGCTGGTCTTGAACTCCTGGGCTCAAGCAATACTCTTGCCTTGCAAGGCCTCCCAAAGTGCAGGGATTACAGGCGTGAACCACCATGTCTGGCCTTGAGCTATCTTTATTGTTCAGACTGTTACAATAGGTAATTAGTCAGACATGAACAGGGCAGGAGAGGGGACCTGGACCAGGACTGTCAGGCAACCATCAGATGACGGTCACGAGGTTGTTAAACTGCCTCTTGAAAAAAATAATTGGTTGCAGCTGGTGCCAGGGAAAGGCAGCCTCCCAACAGAAACACCTCAAGTTGGTCATCAGCAGCTTCCCAATAAGATCTCAGGAGCTGGGCTAGTGGACGTAAGCATGTGCACTAACAGGCAAAATGGCAGAGTTGAACCAGTATATAACCTTTCTCCAGAAACACTCGGCTGGTAAGGGAAGAATGCCTTAAGTGAGCATGTGTACAAATTTGGTAAATACAATGTGCATGTTGCCCCTTCCAAGTGCTGGCAGGCCACCGTGCATGTGGACAACCCACCCCAAGGGAAGAATCAAGGGAGAAGGGATGCAAAACCCCCCGCTCCAAGAGGCATGCCAATGTCTAAACCCAAGTCAAAGATCAAACCATGAACCTGATCTCTCCAGTCACCCACTCGCCCTCTTTCAAGCGGACTTTGCTTTCTTCAGTTCCTGCTCTAAAGCTTTTTAATAAACTTTCACTGTTGGCTCTAAAACTTGCCTCAATCTTTCACTCTGCCCTACGCCCCTCAGTCGAATTCATTCTTCTGAGAAGGCAAGAATTGAGACTGCTGCAGACCTGTAGGGATTTGCTGCCAGTAACAAAACCAATAGGACAATTTGCTGAGGCCTGGGAGGTACCATCTCCACAGAATCCCTGATTTCTCAAAATAATGTTGAGATCGAAGGTTTATTTTGCTGTATAACTCCTTTTCCGGAGTTTTACTTGCATCCAACAAAGAAGATGAGTTTTTCTGGATCCATGATAATGGAAAGCAGGCAACTCCTTTCTGGAGTTTCAGCTTGCTTCCAACAGGGAAGATGAGTTTTGAGTTTTTTTCCTGCTTCTAGGATGACAGAGAGCAGTCTTTGACCTGGGCCGTGTTCCTACATAAGTAGCTGAAATGGGGTTTGTCTTGGAAATTCTCCTTAATGACTAAAAGTTAAAATTAACTACCAGCTGGTCTTGATTTCTCCTTACCATTAGAGTGCTCAGTAGTCTTACAAATTGTGCAATCATTTGTTTTGCTTAACTTTTTTTTCTTGTTTATTTGTTTGGTTCTGTTTTTGTTGTTTTAGTCTTTTTTCCATTGGGTTTGACCACTCTACTTGACTTGGTCAAATCTGAAGGAAAGTTCTAAATTATGGGGAAAAAGACCTCTGAATTGGCTAAATTCCTGAAGTTGGGGAAAAAAAAAAAAAAAGAAAGAAAGAAAAATCAGCCATCAAAACAAGAAAGTATTCAATTACCTGAAGGGCTTTATTTACATAGCAAAACAACCCTTTGCTAGCCAAGCCAAACTGAAAGAGCAGTAGTGGTTGCCCCATGCTGTAGTTCAGTAGCTAAGGTTCTGCCCTTTTTCTACCACGGCAGCCTGGGTTGGTTTCCTAAATAAAGTCCTTTCTGGTTTGATATTTGTATTACATTTGAAATATTAGAAGTTTGTCCCATCTAAACCATGGTAATGTAACCAAAATGCAGGTTAGTTGCTTGTTGCTTGCAGAGTCCAATTAACAAAAGTGAAGTCTGTTATAAAGAAAGTAATTTATTTCCAAAACTAGCTTAGGGGAAGAAATGCAGGTGTCCTCCATATGACTTCACTTTTTAAAGGCAGGGGGGGAAGTGAGCAAGGGTGGTGGCCGGGGGTCCATGCTAGCTCTTGTGCCTTATCTACTGGGCAATCAGCATGTGACTGCTGGCACCTTCATGGGCAGGCTGTTATCTCTTGAGATAATCCCCTAAAGAGTGAGAGTTCCATAGTGGGCATGTTTGGTTTATAAATCAACTGTTAATTCTCAAGTTGACTTTCCAGTTTGAGCATGTAGTTAGATGAACTTGCACTGTAGGGAGAGTCCGGTAATGGGGAGGTAAAAGGCTATATTTGTATTCCTAAATGCCTAAGTAGGAAGTGGGGAACTGAAGGAACAAGAAAAGGAGGGAGAAAAAAAAAATTGATGTCTCAGGAAAATGGGTGTACTTGGTTACAGTAAAGAGATTTTAAAGGATTTTTAAAACACAGTGGTTAAAAGTCAGCTTGATTAAATGCTAATATCATATATAAGGTGTCAAAATTTGGCATGAGGGTTATAAAGTTATAAATGTAACTCAAAAGATAATTATCCTTGTGTAATTTTTTTTGATAAATAAGTCATTTATCCTGAGTTATTGGCCAAAAATTCATTTATTTAACCTTAAGCTTCTTACTTAGGTAAACACCTGAAATTCACAGGCTATATAAATGATTAACAGAAAAATACCTTTAAATAATGATTATTACAGTTTTCATAAGTAATCTAGGTAAACTATTAAAAATAAGTTAATTAGATAAATGTAATAGAAGAAATGCTTGTAAATAAACATAATATAATTTAGAATCTAAAGTTACATTACGTAACAGGCATTAAATGTCTGGGTTATTCACAATTTAAAAAATTATAGAAAAACATTTTGCTAAGAACATGTTCTTATTTAAAGGAAAATAATTTTTGTTGAATTCAAAGGTTATTTAAAGGTTATGAAACAAGATAAAAGGAACCACTAAATAAGAGAGACATAAAGAAAGTTAAAAATCTGAAGAACCATTTTTGGTAAGAAAGGTTAAAAGGAAAATTTTATATGAGAAAAAAATCTTGCATAGTAAATGTTTGTTCTAAAATAAAATGGCTGGGTGCAAATGGCTCATGCATGTAATCCTAGCACTTTGTAAGGCTAAGGTGAGCAGATTGCTTGAGCCTGGGAGTTCTAGACCAGCCTGGGCAACATGGTAAAACCCTCTCTATACAAAATACACAGAAAATTAACTGAGCATGCTGGTGCACATCTATAGTCCCAGCTACCCGGGAGGTTGGAATGGGAGGATTGCTTGAGCCTGGGTGGGTCAAGGCTGCAGTGAGCTGTGATCATGCCACTACACCCCAGCCTGGGTGACAGAGAGAGAGACCTTGTCTCAAGGAAACAACAACAGCAACAACAACAACAACAACAAAAAAGAAATCTTAAAAAAAAGAAAAAGAAGATAAAATGACTGGTTATTTAGGAAAGAAGGATGTTTAGGATAAAACAGGAAGTCTAGGCATGTCATAAATGGCTTGTGTAGGTCATAGTAAGGTTTGTAAAAAGAGACTATGAGAAAAGAATTTATTTGATCAAGTTGGCTATAATTAAAAGGAAATTAGTCTTTCTAGAGATTGTGCTTTGATATTAAAAATACGCTAACCCACTCAAGAATGGGCTAGAAGAGCAAAGTTTTCTTAAGATATTAATTTACTCTAAATTTACCCCAGATTTCAACTTTTATTGAATCTCACTGTTTTCACCTTTCTCTCCCCTTCAAGAAGTCCTGAGATAATAGCTCTCTCCAACTTTCTTGTCAGTTTCTATAATTTTTTTCCTCAGGTTCTAACTGCTACTGTGACATGAGGCTAAAAGTGTTTTATCTTAAAGATCTAAAGGAAATATTTTCTTCCAATATAGCGGTCTGTGCTCTTGGCTTGAAGTTGTTCTATGAAACTGAAAATTTTAACTTATGACCCAAGACACACCCTTCCTATATCTAACTCATTCAAGTACCATTTTCATTAGTTTTGACTTGAAGGCTATCTAAATGGACTTTCCATAGGGAAAAGCAATCACTGCAGAAGGTCTTTTATTTATTTTTTGCCTTTTGGCAACTGGCCTAACAAACAGATTTTATATTTTATTGAAACAATTCCTATGGCATTGTTATTAAGTTTTTTATTTGCCTAGGAAAATTGAGATTTCAAAAATTAAAGTTATTAACATTCCATATAATGTTCTGTATTGCTTTTAAAGTCCTTGTTCTGTTGAGTTACAGGGCTTTGACTCCTGCATCTAAGAAGGACACCAAGTCCTGCTAAATCTTAAACACTGAAAGCTTCTAAAACCTTATCTTCAGAACCGGGAGAAGATGATAATCAAAAGAAACTGCACTCATAAGACACAGCGCCAGAAATTGGAACTATTTTACCTCTCAAAGTCCAGGGGCTATTGTGGAAGATGTGGGTGCCTGAGATTGTAAGGGCCTATTTTGAAAGATAAAATTGGTTCAGAGTTTCTCTATAAACATTAGTATCAAAGCCTCACTGATGCGAGACTAGCCTCTGAGCCCCTGTGTCAGACTAGCAAGGTTTTCTTGAAGTATTAACCTACTTTTTCATTAAAAAATTATAAAAAGTTATAAAAAGGTTTATGGAAATTATATATTATGGTCAAGATGATTAAAATTTAATAGATTTGTTTGTAAGATTTGAGAGACAGAGTTCACTGGCCTCGTGCTATCTTTATTAGGGCTTATTGTTTGGGAAATTAAGTCTCCTCTCTCAAAGAGTAATGTTTTTGCCTTTTGCGTTTTTTTTTTTTTTTTTTTTTGAAATCTTTGAGTTTCCTCTTTGGCTAAATGAATGATTTATTTTACAATGACCAATGACCTATGATCCTATTTTGTGATATCAAGTGTTTTAAAGTTTTGATATTTGACTTTTTCAAAATTAAATTCTAAATTCAGTCCTTTTGACTTCATTAATTTTTTTGATATTAGGTCCCCTTAAGTCCAAAAGACACATATTTGGCTTATTTGGTATAACACAATCATTAGATATTAATTTCACATTTGACAATACTTACTGTATAATTTTATTATACCAAATAAGTACAACCTAATAATCTATACTTATAATTTATATTTATAGATTTAACCTGTAATTTTATTATACCAAAGAAGTATAACCTAATTTTGTGGGATGCACCCATTCCTCTGAATTCCTCCATCTCCCCTGGGACCTGTGTTGAAGGTCATCTCAGTAGCTTCTAGGTTTTAGTGATAATGAATAAAGCAGTGAATGTGACATGTAGGTTTTAGTTGGACATAAATTTTCAAGTCAGCTAGGTCAATGTCTATGACACTTATGGTCATGTGGTACAAGTACATTTAGCTTTGTGAGCAATTTCCCAACTGTCTTCCAAGGAGGCTGTACCATTTTGCATTCAGCAGTAGCAGCATTTTGCAGCAGCGATGGACAGAGTTCTGCGGCTCCACCTCCTCCATGGTGTTTGGTGTTGTCAGTGTTGCCTGTGAAGTCTGAGCCCCTCTCGTGGGTCTCTACCCCAGGTACTTGTGGGTTATGGAGAGAACTTTTCACCATGCAGCATGATTTTGTTTGCTACTGCTTGTTTCCTCAGTAGCCACGTGGATTCTGGACCCACATGCCCCAGCTTGGCCCATGGTTTGGAGCTCAGTAGATGCTCGGTGATGCTGACTGCTCCCTGGCCAGGAGATCCCTTGGGGGACTGTGCCACCTCCTATCTTGGACTCCTGCATGGAATGCCCCTATTCCTCTGAATTCCTCCATCTCCCCTGGGACCCTCCATCCCCCATAGGTCTTACCTGACTCTGTAGCGCTCCTAAAACATGACATGGTGTCTGAAGGTGCAGTTCATGTCCAGGTCAATCTGGTTTATTTTCACTGAGGACATCTTGCCCTGCTCCTTTATTTTCTTTAGGGCAAGGCTGAGGAAGGAACCAGCCTCAGAACAGACAAAAGGCTCACTATTACAAACAGCAATCATAAAACATTCAGCACTTCTGGAAGGAAAGGAGATTTTTTTTTTTTCCCCAGAAATATCCTTCTTTACCTTATTTCCAAAGCCACGGAGGGTCACCAGAGCCCAGTTCACTTGTGGTTCCCATGCCATCGTCTGTGCCTAGGATATGGGACTGACTATCACCCAGGCTTGACTTTTCCTCTAGCTAAAGACCTGGGCTGCTGACACGGCCTGGCCTGTTTGTTCTGCTCTAGCTGAGTGTGGAAGGACCATACCTGGTACTTACTTGGGTTTTCAGCCTTCACCTTCTTGATATCCAGCAGGAATGACCATGCCTGACTGCACATCTGCAGGGGGGTTCCCTTGTAGGCCAGCTGAGACATCTATGGACAGAAGAAGTCTTTGATGAGAAGGTCCGGGAAGGATCAAAACCTGAGGATTCTGGAAGATTCCCAGAATCCCCAGCTTTTGGCTCCATGGTTCATCTGGAGAGGTTGTGCCTATCTAGGACCCGGCCTCCTCTCCCAAGGTTAAAGAGTGGGTGAGCACTCAGGGTTGTGAATTCTGATCTGGACCTATTTCTTCCTTCAAGACATCAGGAGGTGTCCCTAACCCTCATTTAGGGATGGCCCAGGCCCTGGCATCAGATTCTCTCCCAGCAGAGTGACTCTGTTAAAGATGGGAAGAAAAGCTGGGGATCAGGCCTGCTGTCCTCTAGGTGATAACAGCATGCTGTCTGCTCTCTGAGAGGCAGGCAGGGCCAGCCAACAGTAATGGATTCTTATCACCCCAACTCTGTGGAGAGTGGTCACGGGGGCCCTCAGTCTCCGTGTCACGTTCCTGCTGTTCCTATATTTATTCCAGCTGTTAAACATTGTTAGCCATTTATCTGTATGTCTGATCTCCTGATGTTTATTCTGTAAAACAAGATGATAGAGTTAGTAGACCTGCCATGCTTCCTGGAGTGGCCCTTTGATGCTGGGTCTTGTGCTCAGGGTTCCTGATGGGACAGAACTGGAATGACCCAGAAAAGGGAAGACTCTGGGGCTGAGATACTCTGACCGAGTGGGCGCCAGTGGCCTGGACTTGTGACCTCAGGACACACATCCTTCAGGCCATAGACACTCTGGGCTTTGGTCAGGTCTCAGCCTCCAGGTGGGGTCCCGGCACAAGTAAGCAGCAGCCCCTGAGCCACTATTGTGGTTCTCAGTGCTGGGCAGGGACAGAGTCTTGAGGTCAGGTCCAGCAGGAACTGTGGGTCCTCCCAGTGGTGGCATGTCGCTCCCACTCACCACCACCCATGCCTACAGGCCACCCCCTCTGCCTCACTGACCATCAGCCAGGTCTCTTATTTATGGACCGGCTTCTCATACATCAGGAACAAGCTCTTACTTTTGTCTCCAGGGCACTGATGGGGACAGCTGTGTCTCACTGTAAAGCAACTGTGGGAGAGTGAGCCCCAGGGAAGGACCAGCCCCACCCTCATCTACCCCAGGTATCAGTCCAGGAGGCCACATAGGGAATGGAAGAGGGTCTTTCTATGGGCTCACCCGCAGGAGGGCCTAGGACTCGGGAGCAGAGGGAGCACAAGGCCAGGCAGGGGCTGCTGGGGGCCCAATGGGTGTCAGGCTACCTAATGGGGCTGTCCCTCCTGGGCTGGAGGCAGCATACTCTGCATGGGCTGAGAAAGTCCAGTCCTCAGACGGGACAGTACTGCCCGGGGTGGGTGGCTGGGCCCTGCCATTAGTCTGCCACTGCAGGCTCCAAGGAACAGGGCCAGCCCCTCAGGCTGCCCCCTCCTCTCATGCTGACTTGGAGATCATGCTGCTCAGAGCCCAGGAACCTGGCCCAGCCCCAACTCGTCCCACCTGCTCTCCAGCGTTCTCTTGATGTGCCACTCAGCTCTGGTAACGCTGACTTAGGCTGGACCTGTAGGGGAGCTGGGGAGGAGTTCCGACCCTGGGATGGAGATTGGGCTGAGCCAAGGACATATGTCCTGCTTCAGAGGAACTTTTCCAAAAATAAAACCCATCCCTGAGACAAGATTGGTTGCTGAGAACAAGCCCTAGCCCTGGCATAAACAGGCCTTAAAGCAACTGGCCATAAACAGGATTTCTGCAGCAATGTGACATGCTTGTGATGGCTATCACGCACACTGCTAGAAGTTTTTTGTTTATTGGAGCAGGGCAAGGAAAACCCGGCCTGCCCAGAGTGGAAAATTGCTCAAACCACAAGCAATAGCAGGAACGGCCTGTGCCTTAACAACATGCTTTTACTGCAGACATCAGCCAGGGCCTGTTTCTCTGCTCCTCGCTAGGAATGCTTTGTTTCCCATAAGGAATGCTTTTAGCTAATCTATAATCTATAGAAGCAATGCTTATCACTGGCTTACTGTCAATAAATATGTGGGTCAAACTCCATTTGTGGCTCTCAGCTCTGAAGGCTGTCAGCCCCTGATCCCCACTCTACACTCTATTTCTGTGTCTGTGTCTTTAATCCCTCTAGCGCCGCTGGGAGCTGGTCTTAGCAATTGGTTGGGAGGACAGAAGACTGACTCACTGTGGAATCTCGAGCTGACTGATGACCTTGTAGATGTAAACATCTTCATCTCCTGTGTCCACTGGTGCCCTGGATCAGCAACCTGCAAGGCAGAGGGAGAGAGGGTGAGGGGGGCCAAAATGAAAGTTGTCGGGTATGGGGGTGTGGGCAGCCCCTCCTTGCCCAGCATCCTGAGGGACTCCAGGACCATCGGACCAGGGAACAGAGGGAGAGGTGAGACCCCGCCTCCCCGGAGGGAGTAGCCTGACCTATGTCTGCTTGTGCTTGACAGTGATGTCCCTTTACTCCTGGGCGAGCAGATATCCATGTCTTTGTCCATATCCACCCTATAAGACAAAATACTCCCAAAATTACATGGCACCTGAGAGCTTCAGAGAACACCCTGTATGTCTGCTCCCAGATGCCATCTGGGTGAGTCTCGTTTCACCAACACCCCCAGGAAAATGGGACCAAGCGAAATGACCCCACCTCTGCCAGGATTTCTGGAGTCCCTGTGCCTGACCAGAGGCGGGCTCTTTCCTGAGGACTTTAAAACAAGGGGACCTAGACAGCGAGGCTTGTTGTCCCTAAATGCCCTGAAATGGGCACACACCCCACAGCAGGATGAACCGCATCTACCTGCTCAGGGTGAAGGGCTGTGGTGACTGTAATGGACACCCGAGGCAGACTAGGGCCAGGAACCAGAAATCTCTATAAGATCAGCCTCCTGCGATTGCTCAGAGACCATGAAGATGCGCAGTTTTCTGTAGGAAGGAAGAAATCTCATGAGTGTTCTGTTCCACTCCAATCTTTACTCACTCTGGCCAGTGAGGCCATTTGGAGAATAACACCAGTCAAGCAGGAGCATGTTTGGTTCGGAGAAAGCTTGATCTATTGTCTCCAAAGCAGCCTCTGTGCTTGTGGAAAACAGTTCTTTGGAGGAGGGAGGGCAGATTCCACAGTCCTGAGCTGTCGATACAGGAAGAGGCTTTGTTTTCCCAGATGACGGGGGAACAAGTGAACTCTTGGGGACGGGTTCTGGAGAACACCCAGAGGGGCCGTCTCTCCTGGGAATACCTGAGACAAAGGGAAGGTGATACCTCTAGAGGACAGGTCAGAGAGAGTACCCTGCAGGTTAAACCCCTGTCCCCAAGGCCCCAGACAACAGGAGGAATGACTTGTCACCTTCTGGCCAGACCTCCAGGGTTTCTTCATTTTTCACAACTATTTGAGGGCAGAGGGCTCCCAGCTCTGCTCCCAAACTGGAAAACCCCAGTGTCTGGTGAGACCTACAGCAACCATCTGAGCCCACACCTAGAGTCTGAATGGATAAGATCCCTGCCTCTGGGGACCTTTGTCTTGCACAGACTTGGACTGAGGGATGCCTCTAACCCCACCCACAGGGCCCCCATTCCTGTGGCTCTTCCAGGGCCAGGTTCTACCCCGACTGGGGTACAGAATCCTCGGCAGATTTTGTATGTAAGGCAGGAAGGTTGCAGAGGCCAGGAGTTGAGTCCAGGACAGCACAAGGTAGGGCTGAGATCACAGTCCAGAGTCACATCTGGGTCCCTGGGTCAGTTACCTCCCCTCTGACCTCAGACATCTCATCTGTCAAATGGGTACATTAGCACCCATTCCACAAAGTCAGTGTGAAGGTGAATGAGATGGCTGCAATACATGGTCAGTGAGGAAAACGCACCTGGTGGGAGCTCAGCGACATTACCCTCCACAGTGCCCCAGAGGCCAGTGCTGTCATCGGGTGGCATCTGTCCCCAAGTTAGCAGGAAGGGGAGAGAGCAGGTCACACTTACCCGAGAATGACCAGTCAGCTGTGCTGAGATGTGCCTCTCACTTCGAAAAGGGTCCTGCACACAGAGGCACTCACAGACACCACTGTGTGTCTCCAGCTGCTCCACAACCCAGAGGCAGGCAGATGTTCAGCCACGGTGACGTCTGGGGTTACAGCATCCGTCAGAATGGGGCCCTGCCTGGGTCAGCAAGGCCCAGGTCCAGCATCCTCTACCCCTTGAACTATCAACATGTATGCATTCGATGTGTTTGTGTGTGAATGTGAATGAGTATGTGTATGTTGTGAACACGTGTGTGCATGAGTGTATCTCTTCTCGGGCTGGTCTTGGCTGCTCCACCCCATGTGCACCCAGGTCCTCATCACTGTCACCCCCCAGCGCTGTGGCCAGCATCAGAGCATCCATGGGTGCTCCCCAATCTCTGCCTTCTCCACCTGAGGCAGTTCTGGGGATGCAGACAGAGGAAGGCAGAGGGCAGAGGGCTTACCGCTTCCTCACAGGGACTCAGCTTGTGTGTAAAATTTTAGGCCTGCCTGCTCAGCAGGGCGGGATTCAGCACACCTTCTCACGTCCTCCTCCCAGAAGCCTTCTGGGCTGCTGTGTCCAGTCCCCCTTTGTAGATGGAGGGAAGGAGGCTCCAGGGAAAAATCTCCTGCCTGAGGTCACACAGTGGCAGGTGACCAGGCACCACTGACCAGGTCCCCTGCCTAACTGGACCTGAGGAAGGAGGAAGCTCAGGAGGGAGGTGGGTGGAATCACCTCTTGGATGTCAGCTTCTGTCCACCAGGTGTCAGGTGACCGCTTCTTGTCTGTTTTCTTTACCTCTGCTATCCCCCTTGGTCATTGAAATTGAATTGGGGTGGGGACATGTTGGGAACCTATACCTGCAGCCCTTCCATCCCCTCAGAAACCTTCTCATGGGCCCAAAAATGCCCCCCCACTGGCCTTCTGTTTTCTACGCTTTAACTTTTAACCTCACCCAGGCATGGGGCCATAGTCGCCTGGAGACCTCATCAGATGTAAGTCCATTAGGGCACATCCCTGCTTAGGGGTCACCACCAGTGCCCCATCCCAATGGGACGCTCCAATGGCTAAGAAACCCCATTGCTCCCACACAGCCATGTGGAAACAACCTCATGTCCCTTGAGAGATGAAAGGAAATGGGGTCTATTCTCACAATGGAATATTATTCGCCAGGCAAAAGAAGGAAATCCTGCCGTTTGCAACATGGATGAACCTGGAGGACACTGTGCTGAGACAAGCCAGTCACAAAAAGACATACACTGCATAATTCCACTCAGATAAAGTACCTAAAATAGTTAAACCCATAGAAGCAGAATGTAGTATGGGGGTTACCGGGAAATGAGAAGACACATGAGGAGTTGCTTTTCAGCTTTTGTAAAATTTCGGGTATGGAAGATGATTAAATTCTAGAGATTCAATGCATAACATCCTACCTATAGTAAACAATGCCATATTATACATTAAAAAATTCTGCTAACATTAGGAGATATATGTATGTGTACCTGTGTGTGTATACAGTGTAGCTTTTTGTTGTTGTTGTTGTTACTGAACAGTACTCCATTGTATGGATGCACCATAGTTTGTTACACGTTCACCTGTTAAAGGACATTTAGTTTGCTTCTAGGTTTTGCTTATTATGACTGGAGCTTTTATAACAGTTTGTGTGCAGGTGTCTGTGTGGACATAAGCTTTTATGTCTTTAGGAGAAATACCAGGGCTGAGACTGCTGGTTCCTGTGGTAAGTATATGTGTAACCCTACAAGAAAGAAACTGCTTTCCAGTGCAGTTGTGCCATTTTGCCTTCCTGGCAGCGGTGTGTTAGAGTCCTGTTGCTCCACATCCTCGTCAGCAATAGTGTCTGTGGTTTTTATTTTAGACATTCTAATGGGCGTGTAGTGGGATCTCACTGTGGTTTTGATTTGCAGTCCCCTGGTGAGTCGCAGTACTGGGTATCTTGTCTGGGCTGCTCTGCCTGCTGCGTGTCCTCATTGCTGAAGTTTGTGTCTGAGTCTTCGTCTCATTTCCGAAACTGGTTTTGTGTTCCTGTTTTTGAATTGGATTGATTGTTTTAATTGGGTTGGCTTGAGCATTCTTAAGTGTTCTGAATATGAGTCCTTGTCAGACGTGTGATTTTTAAAATATTTTCTTCAAATCTACAGCTCATCTTTTCATTCACTTAACAATGTATTTTGCAGAACAAAAGTTATAATTTTGATGAAGTACAACTTATTGATTTTTTTTGCCTTTTGATGTACTTTGCTTTCAGTGTCACATCTATGAACTCTTTGCCTAACTAGATTGGTAAAATTTTTTCTCCTATGTTTTAACCTAAGCATTATATATATTTATATTTTATGCCTAGATCTACAATCCATTTTGAGTTAATATTGTAACTAATGTAATTTATTACATGTAAATAGGAGGTTTAGATCAAGATTCATTATTCGGGATAAGACTGTCCAACTGTTGACTGGGTGTGGTGGCTCACGCCTGTAATCCCAGCACTTTGGGAGGCTAAGGTGGGTGGATCACGAGGTCAGGAGTTCAAGACCAGCCTGGCCAAGATGATGAAATCCCGTCTCTACTAAAAATCCAAAAAAATTAGCCGGACATGGTGGTGGGCGCCTGTAATCTCATCTACTTGGGAGACTGAAGCATAGAATTGTTTGAACCCAGGAGGTGGAGGTTGCAGTGAACTGAGATCACCACTGCAGTCCAGCCTGGACAGCAGAGCAAGACTCCGTCTTAAAAACAAAAGCAAAACCAAAAACCAAAAAACAAAAAAAGACTGTCCAATTGTTTTAACACTGAAAAGACCTTCCTTTCTCTGTTGAATTGCTGTTGTTCCTTTGTCAATAATTAGCCATAATTGTGTGGGTTATTCCTGAGCTTCCCAATGTCTTCCATAGATCTATGAGTCTATCTCCTCTCCAATATCACCTTGTCTCGGTGAGTTTTGTTGAATTTTATGTGGAATAATAGCAATAAAATTAAATAGAATAAAACAAAATGAATGACATGAAACCCAACACCGGAACATGCAAAACCCTTCCCTTATTCTCTGATGGATCCCATTTCTAGCCATTGTTCACTGAACAATTCACCATTTTATGTTAAACAATTTAATTCTAAATATATTCACAAGATTTGGAACTATCATTGCTACCGAATTCCAGATCACTTATATCACCCTTAAGAGAAAGCTTATATTCATTAGCTGTCAGTTCCTATTTTCCCCTCCTGCAGCCCCTGGCAACCATTAATCTGTGTTTAGTCTCTATGGATTCACCTATTCTGGACACTTTACATAAATGGAATTATATAATATGTTGTCTTCTGTGCCTGGCTTCTTTCACTGAACATGCTGTTTTCACATTTCATCCACACGATAGCCTATAGCCGCTGTTGGTGCTTCATTCCTTTTTACGGCTGAATGACATTGCATTGTATGGATGTATCAGTTTCCTAGGGCTGCTGCAACAAAGTACCACAAACTGGGGGGCTTCAAACAACAGAAACTTATTGTCTCATAACTCTGGAGGTTAGCATCTAAAGTGCTAGCTGACCACCTTCTCTCTGAAACCTGTAGGGGAATCCTACCTTGCCTCTTCCTAACTTCTGGTGGTTTGCCAGCAATCTTTGGCTTGCAGGAGCATCACTCCAATCTCTCCCCTTGTCACCACATGGTTGCCTTCTCTTTGTATGTTTGTGTCTTCACATGCTGTCTTTTCGTAAAGACACCCACCATATTGGATTAGGGCCTGCCCTACTCTTATATGACTTTGTCTTAACTAATGACATCTGCAATGCTGCTATTTCCAAATAAGGGCACATTCTGAGGTTTGGGGAGTAGAGCTTCAATGTGTCTTTCTTGGGAGAATATAATTCAACCCATAACAGTGGACACACATTTTCTTTATGCTAGGCTTTCTTATAAAAGTAAAGAGATGCCAGTTAAATTAACACTCCTTTGTGCTTCCTGTTTTTTGAGTCAAGAGCTTTGCATGTATTATGAAGTTTACAATTACTCTACAGGGTGGAAAGTGGAAGCTATTATTTATAAGAAAAAAAAAATTAAGGAAAGAATGCTCAGAAGGTGAACCAAGGTCACACTCTTGATCCATAATGGAGATAGGGAGACTTTCCAAGGTTTTCCAAAAGTTCTACACCTGGTAAGTGGCAGAGTCCAAATAGAAACTCAGGTCTTCTGCTTCCAAATTCCATGATCTTTGCAATATTGCAAGTCTGGTTTCTGCTGTGAAAGGCTGCTGTTATAGCATACGTCTTCCAGATCACGGGAAGCTTTCATGACCCTTCGACTGTCTCATGTAAGCGATGGTGAAATGGTGGAGATGCTAATTGAGCAGGGACATTAAGGGCACCCTCAGGGCTGAGTCAGCTGCAGTCCACAAGACAGAACTAAAGGGAAGAAGCCATGGGGAAACACCTTTATGAGGCTTTTTCGCTATGGGAAAAGAACTTTCAGAGTTTGAGTGATGGGAAGAGTGAGGACTTTAAACAAGATGGTGAAGGCAAAAGAAATTTTTAGAGGAGAATGGTGGGTTCCAGTTGGCTCTGTTGAGTTTGAAGGGTGTATTAGTTTGCTAGAACTGTAATAGCAAAGTATCACAGACCGGGAAGCTTCAATATGAAATATTCATTTTCTCATAGTCCTGGAGGCCAGAATTCTGAGATCGAGGTGTCTGCAGTGTTGATTTCTTCTGAGGCCTCTCTTGCTGGCTTGTAGATAAGCGTCTTCTCCCTGTGTCTTCACACGATTGTCCCTCTGTGAGTGTCTGTGTCCAAATATCCTCTTAGAGCCCACCCTAATGATCTCATTTTAATTCTATAAAGACGCTATTTCCAAAGAAAGTTACCTTCTGAGATACTGGGGGTTAGAACTTGAATATATAAATTTTGAGAGGACACAACCCAACTCACAACAAAGACCTTGCTGTGCAGTAAAGCGGAGATATCTTTTAGGTTCTTAGCAGTCAGAGTTGACAGTTGAGGAAAGACCAAGATTGAGCATGTCGTTTTTTGTTTTGTTTTGTTTTTTGAGGTGGAATCTCACTGTGTCACCCAGGCTGGAGTGCAGTGATGTGATCTCGGCTCACTGCCACCTCCGCCTCTTGGGTTCAAGCAATTCTCCTGCCTCAGCCTCCTGTGTAGCTGGGACTACAGGTGTGCACCACCACACCAGGCTAACTTTTTTGTATTTTTAGTAGAGATGGGGTTTCACTATGTTGGTCAGGCTGGTCTCAAACCCCTGACCTCAAGTGATTCACCTGCCTCAGCCTTCTGAAGTGCTGGGATTACAGGTGTGAGCCACCACACCTGGCAAAGATGTCATTTTTAGGAGGCAGAAATTGAAGACATGTGATATGGTTTGGCTGTGTCCCCACCCAAATCTCATCTTGAATTGTAGTTCCCATAATTCCCATGTGTCATGGGAGGGACCTGGTGGGAAGTAATTGAATCATGCGGGCAGTTACCTCCATGCTGTTCTTGTGATAGTGAATTCTTATCAGATCTGATGTTTTTTTAAGGGGCCTCCCTCTGTCCCCCTTCACTCTGCACTTATCCTTGCTGACGCCATGTAAAGAAGGAGGTGTTTGCTTCCCCTTCCGCTGGCATTGTAAGTTTTCTGAGGCCACTCCAGCTCTATAGACCTGGAAGTCAATTAAACCTCTTTCCTTTATAAATTACCCCATCTCAGGTTGTCTTATAGCAGTGTGAGAATGGACTAATAACAACGTGTGACAGCTGATTGATCCCAGAAACAAAGTCTAGAGAAATTGGGTGAAGATGCCAGTCTTGTGTGTTTTTTGGTCATTGACAAGGTAAAATAAAATATCTTAAAACATTTTCCTACTTTTGCTGTAAAAGCTTGATTTGTGAAATAGTGTTTGGAGAGTTGTAGTATAACTATCAATGCAGAGTGAATTAAAAAACAGAAGAAGTGGATAAACCAGATTTACAATCACTAAGCAAATCAAAATTGGTAGTTAAAAAAAATTCAGGTGAAACCCCGTCTCTACTAAAAGACAAAAAACGAGCCGGGTGCGGTGGCGGGCGCCTGTAGTCCCAGCTACTCGGGAGGCTGAGGCAGGAGAATGGCGTGAACCCGGGAGGCGGAGCTTGCAGTGAGCCGAGATCCCGTCACTGCACTCCAGCCTGGGAGACAGAGCGAGACTCCGTCTCAAAAAAAAAAAAAAAAAAAAAAAAAAATTCAGCATGACCAGGCCCAGATGATTTAACAGGCAAACTGAACAATTGAAAAATAGGCAGCAGGTGGATTTTTCTGGATTTACAGAGTATATCCACCCCAGCATATCCAATTCTCTGAGCCTTCTCACCTCTGTCTTTTGTGGAGAGTTGTCACTTTTTCCATATTTACAGGAGCTTACCTCAAATCTGATTTGTACTATCTTTTGGAATCCCTGTAAGGCTGTTAAATCCTGTGTGTTGTGAGGATCCTCCTGCATTGATGATAAACCTCTCTCATCTAACCTTAGGTTCTACCTGGAAATGGAGACCCTTTAGTATCCAGCCCCACGGATATCTCAGGACTTCTGCCCATACATGCGGCTATATTCTGTGGCTCTTCCTCTATTAAGTCATAAGATCCCTGGCTGAGGTAGGCTGTGGTGAACCTCATCATTGGCCTGGCCACCAGAAAACAAGGTGTGAGCTGATCCAGGGGCTTGGGGGCACTACGGTCTTGTGGGAGAGCAGTCTCTGCCTTCTCTCCAAAGAAGGGGACAGTGCTTTCCCTTCCCAGGGAGGACTGGACCACTCAGCACACTCAGATTGTGCAGGGTCATCTGGGGATTCAGATAAAGAGAGAAATGGGCAGAGGGGAACCAGATAGGGGCACAGAGAGAGAAGCTGGGATGAGTCACAAGAGCACAGAAAGAGGGGCAGAGACACGGCTGATCGCCAGCAAGGTCTCAGGACCAATAGGAAGACTATTGTTGGAGGGAGGAAGATTTTCTCAATATTTTGCGTGGGAGCTCCAGTGAGAAGCTGGAAGCTCTGCTCTTTTGCGTCTTAGTGTGAGGACGGGGACCAAGGGGTCATCTCTCAAAGGCTGCTCTTCATTTTGTTGTTTTATTTTTTTTTTATTCTTATTTAGAAATTTTCTAAAGCAGAAATTTTCTACATCTTTAGAAATTTTCTAAAATCTTAATTTTTATCTCATTGTTGGTGTCCAGTAAATTAAGAGAAATGTGGCAAAATGACATGGAATCCAAATACATCATCAAAGAGATATTTTATTTGTAAACAAGTTACTCTCTAAGGTCTTAAAATCTACTCCAAGAGTTCTTCTCTCTGCACGTGAACAGGTGGAATAATTGTGATAAAATGGAAGAGCCCAGCAGGTGGGGTCTGTGAAATCATTCGGCTAACTCCTGCAGACAATGTGTTCTCTCTCTCTCTCTGTCTATCCCCATGCTAAGGACGCACTCCTTGTTCATCTCCAGGACAGGGTCAGCAGATGCTGCCTGGGGCATGCTGGTGATCACTGTGTCACTTTGGGTCAGGAAACACACACTCTGGAGAGGACAAAGCAAGTGAACAGACCTTGTACTCTGAGTGGAAGGCCTTTTATTTCCAAAAAATCAAACCAGAAAAATTAAAAAATATCTTGAAACAAAAGACAAGGGAAGCACAAACATAAAAACTTGAGGGTTCCAGGGGCCAGAGGGCTTCTGTACCTTAACCTGTTTCCCGCTCTGCTAAATGAGCCGATTTGTGATGTGCTCTCTTTGGTTCCATCGCTTCCTGTTGTGATTCCTCCACCCTGGGCACTTGCTCCCATCCTGTTCTGCCAGCTACTGCCTCACTCAGCAAAACCTGTCGACTTCGACTAAGATCAAGATTCATGGGTCGACCTTAGTATCACCTGCCGTTGGCCCCAGGACCATGCCCTGTGCCACCACCCAGGCCCCAGAGCCCAGGGCACAACAGATTCACCCTGACGACATCTGAACAGGTCTTTTTTCAAAAGAAGACAGAAGGGATAGCGATGCTGAGCTCCAATGCCGTGAAGAGGAGCATCACAGACAGGATCCTCTGAAATGCAGGATGCACAGGGTCTGTGCTGGATTGGCCAACCCTTCTGCCTTCCTGGGATGACCAGATGGGTTTAGACAGTGTTATCTGCTGGCTCCTTTTCCCTTGTACCTGACTCAACCTGCTCATGATCTGGGAGACAGCGTCATATCCTAGTATCTGGGCCACTCCAGGGACAGCCGTGCAGGTGGCAGGTGACACCCAACGTTGAGCTGAGCCTCCTGACTCTTCCCTCATCTGGCCTCGAGGGAGAGTCTTGCTGCCTGTCTGAGTTTCAATTTCGTCTTCTGTAAGATGGGGATTTCACACTCACCTCTTAGGGCAGTTCGCAGGTCCACAGAGGTGGTGAGGCAGAAGGCCTTCCTTTGTAAACTGAGTGCTACCCACCTAGGCTCCCTGGGGTGGGCCTGCTTGGCTTGGCTGGGAGGCAGCAAGGGGCACCTTGACCAAGCACAGTGATGTGCTGGCGCAGTTGCTAATGCTCATGCCAGTCCCCAGGAGGTGCCTACCTGAGGAGGAGAACAATTCTGCTTCCCTGGGTCACCTTCCATGGAACAGTGGCTTCCCAGTAGAACAGGTAAGGCCACAGGTGTGCAGAACCTTGAATTTATTTGTACAGACTATGACTGTAGTGGGTTAGTGTTCTCCCTCAAATTCATGTCTACATAGAGCCTGAGAATGTGACGTTATCTGGAAATATGGTCTGTGTAGGTGCAACTAGTTAAGGATCTCAAGGTGAGATCATCCTGGATTTAGAGTGGACCCTAAATGCAGTAACTGGTGTTCTTATGAGAAGAGAACAGGACACAGAGACAAACAGAGGGGAAGGACCCGTGAGGATGGAGACAGAGGTTAGAGTGATGTGTCCAGAAACCAGAGAATGCCTGGAGTTCCCCAAAGCTGGAAGAGACAAGAAACAGTCTTTTCCTAGAGCCTTCAGAGAAAGTGCGGACCTGCCGGCTCCTCGATCTTGGATTTTGCTTTCAGAACTGTGAAGGAATTCACTGCTGTTGTTTTCAGTCACCAGTTTGTGGTCCTCTGTTATTGTGGCTATGGGAAATAAATACAAGGACCCCTCCGGCAGGGGTTGCTGCTTGTCCCCTCTCCCTGAGAAGCTCCTGAGGCAGAGAGCTCAGGCTGGTTTCTGAGGAGCTCATCCTAATTCACTACACAAACCCCGTCCAGCACCTCAACAGATGCCTCCCCTGCCCCTCAACCCTCCACCCCTGTGATGGCTGCTCCATCTGTGGGAGGATGGCCTGAAGCCAGCAATGAGGGGATGGGACAGCGGCCAGTCTGTGCACATAACACCCCACCTGCCACCTCTCCACCCCTAGAATATCCCCCTCTTTGGCTGCAGAAGTGAAACTTCCTCTGCCTTCTTTTCTCAATGTTCCGCACACATACTGGCTCTGATGCAACAGAGAATGCGAAACCACATTCCATCATTTTCATAAAGTTCTGATTGCGAACAACAGTTAAAAAGCCCATTCCGTATTTGTTTTCTAATTTTTTGGGGTCATTTTTGGCCATCCCATCCATTTTTGTGCATGTGGTGGAGTTAGGATTTAGCCTCTTACAGTCTCCCTTGACCTGTGGCTCTTGCCTGGCTGAACCTGGGGACTGCCAGTCTGTGGCCACCCTGTCTATGAGGTTCCTATGTCTCCCTGAGCTCTTGGCCTTTCCTGAGCAATTCACTACCCTGACCCTAGAGTTCTTGCTTGGACAAACCCATCCCTCGAGACTATGACAGTTAAGTCAGTTTGTTTACTAAGGTGCTCAAACTGAAACCAAATTGTTGGTTATGTCTTTTTGCAACTACAGTCTTGATTGATATTGTACTTGAACAACTCTTTTGGCACAGTCCTGTCAAATGCCTGCTATTCTCCCATGTGTGGGTTCCTGTGGTCTGCCCCTTTCCCCATGGTCCACACCAGAAGGAAGCAGAGAACAAGAAGAAGAAAATCTCAAAGACTTCACTATTCTGGAACATTCTACCTAAAAATACTCACCAGTAAGCTAGAGCTGGCCACGAAGCAGCTGGTGGTCTCATTCTTCAAAAAGCAGTGGCTGTCTTGAGGCACTGATAGGGGAGGCACCACCAGGTGGCACTGTCTGGCAGCCAGGAACACCCCGGCCAGGTGATAGGGAAGGACGATGAGGCCCACGGTGGCGGCCACAAGGCTTTGGAGGCTACTGATCAGGCTGTTCCAGGCCTGTAGGGGATCTGGTCAGGGTCTACTCCTGAGCAGTTCATGCTCCTGGGGCACCACGATTCCACCAGGCTGGCAGCAGGTTCACACATCCAGGACCCTTGGCAGGATGGGACTTCCACTTCTGTCATACGATTTGATTCATTTTGTTCACTGTCAACCCTTCTCAGAGCACCCCAAGCCTACAGGAAATGCTTGCTGAAGCAAAGCATTTGGCATGATGCATGAATGCATGAATGAAGCAGAGACTTATGGTGGGACACACAGGGGATGTGGTTCTAGTAGTTTCTCCATCCATGACTGGGCAGGGCTAGAGCAAGAGGAAGATATACACAGAACTGATGTCCCATTGGACTGAACTGAGTAGAGAAAATATTGCAATGCCCACAGTGCTTGATAAATCACAGCTTCCCTGACCTCCAAGCCCCCTACTGGTTTTACCCAGTCTACTGGCACCCTGAGGAGGTTCCTCCTACCATCTCCCCTAAGCCTAGCAAGAGGCCTCCTGCCTCATCCTGAGCTGAGGCTGGCATCAGGTGGATTCCCTGACTTGCTCTTTCCTATCACCTGGCTCTGTCTGCAGCACCCCTGCATGGCAGAGCTCAAGGCCAAAGGGCCTTCTTATCCAAGTACAACAGATGCCCCCACAGCAGCCTCTGTCATATGGGGACAGCAGCAGGATTGGTGCTCTTCCCTTTTTTTTTCATCCACTCCACTTTGTGAAAAGGGTGCCCTGGCAGGAGCATGTGGTGCGAGGGCTCAGTGTGGGGGCAACAGCACCTGGGGCGAAGGGTGGGTGTTCAGATCCCAGCTGGGGCACTGCCCAGAGGAGGGCTGGAGAGTCACAGCTGCACCATGGGGGACCATCTGCCCTTGAAAGCAGGAAGCCTGGATTCCAGTTTTAGGGTGTCCAGACTCACTTTTCAAAGACCACCACCAAGGGAGGAATAGCCTGATGTCTGTGGTGGCTTCCAGGACACCTGGGCTAGGTGTTCCAGCCTGTCACAAACAGCCCATGGCACATGTGCTCAGGTATGCCCAGCAGCCACTGGTAAAGACCCCGGGCCTCTTCCCAGGGGCTCAATCGCGGAGCTGGGCAGTGATGGGGGACAGACGGGAAAAGGTGGTGGGCCATTTCTCCACACAGCACCAGGGATTCACAACTCATGTGGTCAGCATGTTCTGAGAAAGTCCCCTTTTTTCAGCCAGAGAAGCCCTTTCATTCACCCTGAGGATGGTGGGGAGTGAATTTCATAGCAGCCTGAGTGGCCCTGGAACAC